GCTGTTGAATCACTGTGCCTGAAGAAAGTGAAGCCCCTGGTGGCCTGTCTCCTGCCTCCCTGAACAGCTGGAACTGCACCATCCAATCTGCGGGGCTTCCTCCATGAATGCCAAGAATCCAAAATTTTTCCTCAGGAGTGGAAGATCAGGCCAGCTCAGGCCCCTGCAGCCTTCAGATATGAACCTATGGCATGGCAAGGCAATCCAAGATGGGAATCCCAGGTAGTTTTGGAGAGGAATGTTGATCTGATTGGGGGACTAAGGTGAGCATGATCAAATGATCAGATTAATTGAAGGAGAGCTGATTTGACTGGCCTCTTTTTGTAAATGATGCAGGGGGTATTACTGGTCAAACAAGGTAAACTGTGCATTCTTTGTCTCTTGAAGAAAGAACCCAGGGAACCTTTCTTCAAGGTTGCTTCACGTCCGGCTCCGTGATATGCATGGTGAATTCTTCCCATCACATTGGCGCTCTGAGCAGCCGTGTGGATGAAGAGCAGAAGAAATGGTGCTTTCATCCAGTACGGGTCATTTTAGGGGACTCTTTCTCAGCTACAGATAACATTGAGATCTGGGGAGCAATACTTCATACTTTGACCTGTAAATTTTGCTGGAGCATAGAAACAACGTCCTTCAGTGGATGTACATTCAGGCTGATGGAGTGTTTGATGCAGTGTTTGAACAGAGTCACAGCTTTTAGCAAGGACTAAGATGAACTGTGCTTGAACTGTATTCCTCGGTTTGGAGCATACAAAATGCCAGAGAAGCAGTCTTATGCAAATAGCAGGTGGGCATCTTGGTCTTAGGCAGGGTTGGAGAAAATTAGGTTTACAGCAAGCAAGAAGAATACAGCTGAAGTCTGGATACCCTTCTGACTGGGCAGATGTTGCTCATGTCCCAGAAGGACTAGCCTGTACAAGCCCTTTTCTGACTCACGAGGAACAGAATGTGAGCCAGGCTCCGCCAGAAACCCCAAGAAGCAGGATGGGGTCATCTGAGCACTGGGACAAAGCTGATCACACTCTCCCCTTGACAGCAGCACCACTGGCAAATGTTGACGCTCGAACGAAAGGGCTGCATTCACCTGCCCTTGACTCACTCCCTTCCAAAGGCCTGCTAGCTCTGGGATGGCCGCCTGCTATCCCGACTGTCACCTGGAGGGGGCGATGCTGCTCCGCGCGTGGCGAGGTTGACAGACTGCAGCTCTAGCAGCACGAGGGGCCGAATGCCCCAGTCAGACCTTGTCCTTTGTGCTCGGGTGAACATGGGCTGGAGCAAGAGCAACGTCCCTTGGCTCTGTGCAGGCCTTTCCAGTGCGAGCTCCTTGCCTTGTGTGAGTGTGTGTAAGGATTTGCTTCTTCCTGCACAGCTGCACGTCACGCCGGCCTGATGCGTGGCCTTTGTTAATCCAGGGAGGTGCAGATCTGCGATGGGATGGGGGACCACTTGTGGGAGCGGAGGATTCGATGGCCTCATCGAATCCTTGCAGCTCCACTGACATCGTGCGCCCTTTTCCATGTGCTCCTTCCCATTGAGTGCCTGGGTGCAAATGGATGTCGTCTTTCACAGGACAGACCTGAAGCATCGGACACATGTGGAGTTTAGGGGTGGAACTGCTCATTCCTGCCTCAGGGCCTGAGAAATGCAGTGTAGCCAATTTCCCACCTCACCCCGCCCAGACGACCTGGGACAGAGCTTGTGTCCCACTAGGTGCCAGTGCAGGGAAGGCGAGGTGGGTGGGATTCGTGCCCTCCTGTCCTGCTTCCGCCCATGTTGATGCAACTAGCACCTTGGGAGGAAGAGGCAGGTGGGAGCGTTCCGTCCTCTGGTTCCGCTGCTTGTTCTTTGCTCGCTTTGTCTGTTCTGGGAGATGCAGTGGGCTGGGAAAGAGACCAACTTGGTCCCCACCAGCAGCGCAGATCCTGCCAGTATGTGTGGGCCCTTGCAGGGCATCCTGCAGTTCAGCAATCCCTGGGCTCCCCGAAGTTCTCCAAATTCTCTCTCTAACCTGCATCAGTCCTCAGGTTACCCCAGGTGCTGCCCATTTCCCTTTTCACCGGAAATATGGGCTTATGGAGGTTGTGTTTGTGTTTCGTTCAGAACATGAGAATTGGATTTAAAAAAGTGGGAAAAAAACCTTCAGGCAGGTGTAATTGGCAGTTAGCATGACTTCAAAAAGTGTCTCTACTCCATTTCTCCAATGGATTTCATTTCCAGGTATGCTGACTGTAAAAGAATGCCATATGATGGCATATTTACTGGGATAATACTAGTAAACATATTGGGGAAATACTGAGAAGAGTAATAAGAAAGATCAGAAGAGGAAAAACTAATTGGTGGAGCTATATATCCTTATTCCTGCTGTNCTTTCAGCATTCCATCTTTAGACTGAATTGGGAGAACATTTTGTTTCCGACGAAATTTTGTTTTCCCGTTCCTGCCTTGGCAGCAGTTAGGATACTCTCAACAGGCACGTTGCATCCCGGGACATGGTACCTTGCGCATGCCCGCCTGGCTCCCTTGCGCGCATTGCAGGCCCAAGTTCAGCCTTCCAGGCCCCTGGACTTCTGCTCAGACCACGCTGAGGGCACTTGCTGGAATGCTTCTCTCCAGACGTGGGAGTATGTTGCTCAAAATGCCAACTGAGAGCAGCACGTCATGCGAGGCAGGCGACCCCCAAGCTGCCCAGATGCTCGGCTGGGCCTTACGCCACTCAGCAGCCTCCCTCGCTTCCCCCCATGCATGAGGTGGAAATGGGAAGTGCTGACATTTGAGCCAAACGTTTTGACTCCTTTGTGCCTGTACCGTCTCATTTCTGACTCTATGAACAGCTCCTGAGATGGGCGCCTGCCACAAGAACTTTCCCCTCAGGGGGAACACCTGCCCCACGTCTGGCCCTTTTGAAAATCTGCCGAAACATAAATACGCACAATCTAGAGCACGGCAGTGAGGGAAACAAGAGCACGTCCTGGACAGCTTGGCGTTCAGTCTTGTGAGCCTTTCCTGCTCACTTATGGGGAGATAAAGTGCCACTCGACACATTTCTACTCTCTGCAAAGCAACAAGAAGGCACTCCAGCCATGCAATGCGGGTTCTCCCAGGTCCATTTATTTCTGTACAGAATTCAGCATGCATTTCTTAATTGGGACCATGAGGGCAGTTAAACGATTAATTGCTCTTAAGCGCATGCTGTCGGATGGGCTCCTCCTTTTATGGAACGGAGCTGAAGCCACTAATCATTTCAGTTCTGGCTGCAGAATGAGCTCAGTGCCACTTTAGATTCTAAACACACACACACACGCACACACGCACTAACACTCCTTTATCTATAGACAAATAGGACATAGGAAATTGTTCACCTCACCATTCCCTGCCTCCTGCAGCAAAGCCAACTTGCCTCCTGGGACTTGGAAAGGAAAAGGCATGGGATATCTCCACAGCCTGCTTCTTGCAGGATGGTCACTCATGCATTCATATTTTCCCATTTTGGATCACATCTTCCGTGAAGGAAAAGGAAATTAAAGTGTTTGCATTCGAGTCAAATCCTTTGATTCCTTTCTGCCTGCGCAGTCTCATTTCCAAAGCTATGAATTCCTTTCAGAAGGCTGCCTACTATTGTACCTTTCACCTGTAGGGGGAGCTCCTGCCCCATTTGTGGCGCGCCTGAGAATCTCAAGTCTGGGGAGCAGCAGCTGAATGAAGGCAAGCCACACCTTGGGAGTGACGTGATACAGGAGGACGTCCCGGGTGCCTTGGAGCTCTTCTGAGCCTTGACAGGAGAGTTATGGGGAACTGAAGTAAAGCTCAGCCTGTTTCCGTCTCTCCAGATCATGACAAGAATGCACTGCAGTAATGGAAATGTGTATCCCACGGTCCATTCGTTCCTGTGAATTGAATGGACTTTGGATAGATAATTCTGTGCAGAATTCAGTGTGCATTTCTGAACTAGAGCCAGAGAGCAGCTCCACTGGTTATCTGTCCTGGGTGTGCTGTCAAGTGGATTCCTTCCTACATAAAATGGAGCTGGATACTCAAAATATCACAGAGCTTCCTACAAATGAGCCCATCGCTGCATTTGGTTCCACACATACAAGCATACGTACCAGCATATATAGACACCGAGCATAGGAAATCGTTCACTCCACACCTCCCTGGCTACTGCAGCCAAGCTAACTTTTCTCCCGGGCCTTTAAAGGAAAAAGGCACAGGATTCCTCCACAGCCAGCCTCTTACAAGATGATCACTCATCCATGCAGGTTTCCCCGTTTTTTTGTTCATTAGGAAAAGCTCCAGCCCACATGTCCTCTCAGGCAGAGAGGTATGCCTGGCTCTGGATTGAACCAATAACACATGGAGTTGGAGGGTGCCATGAAAACCAAGACATTTCCTGATCCCCAGCAGCCTTTCACACTGAGATATTCCCTCCCCACCC